CTAAGCCTTATCATAACCAAAGAGCAAAAATCTATAATAGATGGCAAAAAAAAATCAAGTAATTAAAACATGCCACCAGGGAATATAACTTACCAAAAAAGATGTTTAGAAAAATATATAGACGGGAACTACACGAAAACCAGAAAGCAATTTACAAAATGGGTGTATAGGAGTGTATCTACTGATGACTGCCTTGAATGTAAATTCATCAAACTCTGCACTTAAGAGACAAAATGAGGGCTGGGATTGTGGCTCAGAGGTAGAGCGTTCACCTACCACGTGTGAAGCCCTGGGTTCGATCCTCAGCACCACATACAGAAATAAACAAGTGAAATAAAGGTGTTGTGTCCCACTACAACTAAAAAACAAATATTAAAAAGAGAGAGAGAGACAAAATGGGAAAACACACACACACACACACACACAAAAACAAAAAACGGGACCCCATGATATGTTGCTTCCAAGAAACTCCATTACTTTTAAGGACACACAGAGTCAGAAAATGAAGAAAGACAATAAAATACTCCATGCAAATTGAATCCAAACAAGAAAGATAAGTAGAAGTAGCCATACTTAAAATAACCTGAACCTAGAGCAGTACAGAGAGACAAGGAAGGTCCTCTGTAAAAGGTTAGGTACTGAGAGAGCAAACAACAGTTATGAGCAGGTCTGCACCAGGATTGGGGCGATTAACTACAGAGGGCAAATATGGAGAGACCGGTGGGGGAGGCCGATGCCAATAATATTAGAAATGTTACACTCCACTTTCAGCAGTGGACATGCAGATAGAGGGGACATCAATGGACAGCTGAGTTAAATGCACACACACCAATGGACCCCACAGACCCTCCCCAGCTCTCCGTCCCACAGCTCCTGGACACACAGCTCTTTACATCCTATGGGACATTTTCCAAGATACATCAAAGAGGCCGCGACACGAGTAACACACTAAACATCAGAACCGCATCGATCGTCACCTTTGATGTCAGTGCGAACTAGAAATCAGTACCACGGAAAACTTTGGAAACGGGCCGAGATGGAAATGAACTCACTCCCAGGTAAGCAATGAGTCAAGGTGAATGTAACGATATTTAAACTTTTCTTGAAACAAACAAAATTGCAAACAGAACATCTAAACCCAGGAGAGGGGCTGGCGTTGTGCCTCAGTAGTATAGCACTGGCCTGGCATGGGTGAGGCACTGGGTTCAAATCTCAGCACCCATATCAACAAATGAATAAAATAAGGTGCATCAACAACTAAAAATATAAATATATATCTTATATAACCAACCCAGGGGACCCAGCAAAACCAGTTCCAAGAAGGAAACTTTTAGCAATCTACACCTACAATGAAAGACCAGAAGGATCTCAACAACCACGGTTGTGCCTCAAAGAATTAGAAAAAGAACAAACTCAACCCAAAGTCAGGAGAGGCAAAGAAAGATGGACCTGGGAAGAAATACATGAAAGACCAAAATAACAGAAACCTCAATGACACCAGGAGCTGAGTATGAAGAGATTCTTCAAATCAGACAAGAAGTTCAGTTTGTAAGGATTCCTGTCCTTCAGTCAATGAGGCCAGCAACACTGGGATACAAAAACAGAACAGGACACAGGAGCAAAGCCACAGGCCAGCATTCCTGATGAACTAGAGGCCGAAACCCTGCCCAAGACACAAGCAAACCAAATCCCACAAACATTGGCAAGTGGGCTTCATCCTGGGTTGTAAGGGTGGGTCCATAGAAGCAGGTGGATCAATGCAATTCCCTGTGCTCCAAGATTCGGAAGGAAACCACACCATCACCCCCAAATACAAGGGCCATTTGATGAGCTTCAACACCCTTGCCACAGAGAGTTGAGCAAGGCAAGCATCGTAGTGCACGCCCCGTGGCAAAGGCCACGGGACGAAGGCCACAGGACGAAGGCCCGACCTGCACACCCACAGCCAGCAGCACACCACCAGGGAAAGCCTGGAAGCCTTCCCAGGCTGGGGAAGACAGGGGAGCCCCCTTCCATCTTTATCCAGCGAGGCCCTGCAGGTTCTAGCCAGGGCAGTCAAGCTAGAGAAATAAGAGCATCCAATGACAAGTCAGATGTCACTCTGGGCAGGTAATGCAATGTTTTATGTAGAAAACCCCCAAATTTTTAGAATGTTTTCAGCAAAATTGCAGGATACAGAAATCAATAGTGTTGCTGAATGCCAATACTGAATTCTCTGGGAAAAAAATCAAGAATGCAATCCCATTTACAATAACTACATAATATCTAGGAATAAATTTAACTAAACAGGTGAAAGGGCTCTACTATGAAATTATACAACATTTACTAAGAAATAAATAAAAGATAATGGAAAAAAGATAGATAATCCATGTTCATGAGTTGAAGAAACTTTTAAAATATTCACACGACCCAAAGAGGTCTGTAGATTCTCTGCAATCCCTAGCAAAATGTCAATGACTTTTTTTTTTTTTTTTGGTACCACAGACTGAACCCAAGGACACTTACTAAGCCACCTTCCCAGCTCTTCAATTTAGACAAGGTCTAAATTGCTTAGGACCTCACTAAATTGCCAAGGCTAGCCTCAAACTTGCAATGCTCCTGCCTCAGCCTCCCAAGTCACAGTGGTGTCCAGCTCAATGACTTTTTCATAGAACTAAAAAACCTTGAAATTTATATAGAACCACAAAACACTCCAAATGACAAAAAAGAAAAAAGAAAGTAAAGAAATAAATCCTGAGACTAACTCTGGAGGCATTATACAACTCAAATTCAAATTATACTAGTTCTAGTATAAAACAGGATGGTACTGGCATAGAGAGACCTGTGGAATAGAGTAGAGCACCAGAAATAAACCCTCGCACTACAGCCAGCTTCCCTGACACAGTTCCCGAGAACAGGCATCAGAGAAGGATCAGTATTTCAATAAACTATGCTGGGGAAATTGGATATAATCAACTCAAAATTGATTAAAAACTTCATGAAAGATCTGAGACCAAAACTGCTGCAAGAAAACCTAGGTTAAGTACATCAGGACTGGATTGGGCAGGATTTCTGGATAAGATCCCCGAACATGGGAGCAAAACAAACAGAAAAGTGGGATTCCATCCAGCAAAGCTTCTGCTGGGCAGAGGAAATGATCAGTGGAGTGAAGGTTCCCCAACTGGAAAACACACACAGAGAGGTGACGTCCTACAAGACTGGTGCCCACCACCGGTCTGGGGCTGCGAAGTCAGTAGCAGAAACACCAGTTAAAAATGGGTAACAGGCCAGGCGTGGTGGCCCACGCCTGTCATCCCTGTGGCTCCGGAGGCTGAGACAGGAGGATCCCAAGTTCAAAGCCAGCCTCAGCAACAGTGAGGCCCTAAGCAACTCAGTGAGACCCTGTCTGTAAATAAATTACAAAATATGGCTGTGGATGGGGCTCAGTGGTTGAGTGCCCCAAGTTCAATCCCTGATATTCCCCCCCCCCCCAAAATGGGCAACAGACATTTGTCCCAAGAAAAGATACAGATGGCCAACAGGGACATAAATTCTCAGCATCACTGACGGTTGAGAGCCACAGCCCAAGGGGCCCCAGCAAACTTCCAGCTGCCAGCTGATTGGCTCCTCTGCGGTGATGCTCATTGGGCTGTTTCCCCGCCCTTTCAGACCACGGAGCTGCTCATTGGGGGACTTTTTGGCTCCGCCCACGCAACCCAGCCAATCGGCCTCAAGAGCAGGAGGATTGTGGGAGGTGGAGAGGCTTGTGGGAAGCCATGGTGGCAGTTGGGCTCCGAGGGAATCCTGAGGAGCTGTGCGGTGTGGTCTCAGCGTCACTAACCACGAGGGAAATGCTCATGGTCACAGCGAGACCACCTCAGCCCGTAAGAAGGGCTACTAACCAGGCTCCGGAGACCAGGGCTGGGCCTGGGGCTGGGGCTCCGGGCAGGGCACTTCCTGGCATGGGCGAGGAACTCGGTTTGATCCTTGGCACCACATAAAAATCAACCTGTGAAATAAAGGCCTTGTGTCCATTTACAACCACAGAAGGAGGACGAAGACAAGATAGCCACAGCAGGCCAGGCGGGGGGACGGGGCCCTGGCTGTGCTGGGGAGGTCCCCAAGAAAGCAGAGCAGAAACCCCTGTGGTCAGCAGCCTCACCCTGGGGGTGCCTCCAGAGGACAGGCGGCCCGCCTGTCCGAGGACCACTGAGCCTGTGGCGACCCCAGCACTGTCCACCGTCGCCAAGGACAAAGCCACCTGCTGGCCACCGACGGATGGGCTAAGAAACATGGTACCCACACAGCACCGAATACCACCTGGCCTGCAGAACGAAGCTCTGTGGGTTCAGACGGCGGAAGGGCAGCTGGACACCCTCCCGTCCAGGGAGGTAGAGCAGGCCCGGAGAGACGGGTCCGCACCACACTCAGGAGGAATCTGAGCTGCTGACCTCTCCAAGCTGAGGGGAGAGCAGTGGCTATCAGAGGCTGGGGCACGGGAGCGGCCACAGTGGGGGCCGAGTTAGAGCTGGTGGGAGTCAGGAGCCTGCGGGCTTCTGCCCACTGAGGCAAGTGGAGAGGGGTAACGCCCCGTGCCTTTCTAAAGAGCTGAAGAAAGGAGTTGGAAGGCTTTTGCCATTAAAAAATGTTTGAGGAGATTAAAAATCACACCATGTATGTCATCAACACAGCATCCATACCCTGCCCATACGTAGATTGTTTCACGTATCAGTGCACAAAAGTTAAGAAAGGAAGTGCGTGATAGAAAACTCGAGAACTCGACCGTCATGGGGACCTGCAGGAGTTCACAGAGTGATACCCGAGGCACACTCCACGTATGTGAAGGAAAGGCTCTGGGTGTCAGTCAGGTGTGTCTGACCCACTCAGACCCACGTTGCGCTTCCTGAACTTGGTTCCACGTTGACCACACGGGAAATCTCCAGGGAAATACATTCTAAATCAGAAGCCGGGGTCTCTCTTCACACTTGTAGTAAAATAAAACTCACAGAAGCATGGGAAGCTCGTTTTTAATGTTCGCTTTAATAACATTCAGCAACATGAAACTATTAAGAAAGAACAGATGGACTTCCAGGTGTCGTGGTGCACGCCTGTAATCCCCGCCACTTGGGAGGCTGGGGCTGGAGGATGGCAGGTGCAAGGTCAAATTGGGCAACTTGGCGTGACCCTGTCTCAAAATAAAAAATGAAAAGGGCTGGGGATGTGGCCCAGTCCCAGATCCCCCCAGGCTCAGTCCCCTGCACTAAAACAGGAAAAAGTCTCAGTGGCTCTTAAATAGAGAAAACCTCCTAGGCATCCACTGCCACCCTGATTTGAATACCAGAAGGCCGAGCATTTCACAGCAGCTTGTGGGAAGTGTGGTGAAATGAGGGAGCCCAAGGTACAAGGGCTGGAGTCGGGCCCAGGACAGAAGTGAATGAGGAAGACGTGGACACCTGCACTTTAGGATGGAAGCCTGGCGTCAGAGTGGAAGCAGAGGGCAGCTTTTCCTCAACCTGCAATCTCCCTTCCTAGTGTCCCTCCCAAGCAGCACTCGCACACCTGTGGAGATCTGCACGCATGCAGGACTGAGCAGTGCAGGGATTTAGAGGACATTTCAAAGGGGAGAACCCTAATGTTCAAAGAAGGGGACAGTGAAATTATGTGATCTTACATGGAGCACCAACTGTGTGCACTTTCACGCCCATTGTGTACGCCACAGTCCGTATTGAGTGAGGTCCATGGAAGCACCCCTGTTAAGAGATGGACACCCACCTCTGGAGGACACAGAGTTGCACAGGAAGCCCCCTGTTAGGAGACGGACACCCACTAGGGCAGAGGCCAAGAGCAGGCCCTGATCCTCTAGTAGACCCTCCCCTCCTGGGCCTCAGGGCCTCTGCCAGCAGGATCCAGCCCCCACCCCACCTGGCAGCACTTAGCCCCAACACGCCTATTTGAATCCTGGGGCGATCTCATGGATCCCGTGCAGTTTGCCCACATGTAACTCAGACCCACGCCTCCCGTCACGCACATGCTCGGGGCACCATGACATTCCACACCTCCTTGTCTGCACACCTGCCCTCTCCTGACAGCTTGAAAACAAAGTGCACCGTCACTTCATCCTGCACCAGCTGTTCCATCTGCACACGGACATCCACAGCAGCACTGCTCACACCACCAGGGCCTGGAAGCAACCTCCGGGCCCCTCAGTGGGCGGGGGGTGGCACACGTGGTCCTCCCAGCAAGGGAGCGTTAAGCAGCCCTGATGGGGAAGGAAATCCTGACTCCCTGCGACAGGGTGAGCGGTAACTGCCCTGCTGGTGAGGTGAGCCAGACCTGAAGGACCTGTGCAGAGCGCCTCCCTCACAGCGGACCAGGAACACAGCCAGAAGGGAGGGCAGAGGGCGGGTGCAGGGAAGGAGCTGAAGTTTGACGGGAAGGGAGTTTTGGTTGGAGATGTCAAGCAAGTTCTGGAGCCCGGTGGTGGCCAGGCCCACACAGCACAGCAGCCCGTTGAAGCCATGGCTGGTCTTACAAATGGCTGAAGCCCTGCATTGGTCGTCATGCACACTTGACCACATTTGGCAAAGCCTCAGCTGTCCTAAACCTCTTCCCTAAACACCCCTCCTCCTTCCTGAAGGCACTCGTCTCCTGCAGCTGCCTCCAGTCCCAGCTCTCTGCCACAGGCAGCTCACAGGAGCCCCCCTGAGCCCCACACCAGGGGCTCATGGGACAGCCCCCAGGCTCCACCCAGTGTGGGCTCCCTGGTGCCTCCTGTCAGCACCTGCCCTTCCTCACAGCGGCCCCCAGGGGACCCTCCCTCCCTAGCACTGCTCCTGGGGTCACCCAAAGCAAGCGTTGTCCACTACCCACGATTCCAGGGGATGGAGCATCAAGTCAGGACATTCGAGAAGGCTTCAACTGTAAAGATTACTTCAAGCCGACCAGCCAGGTCAGGCATGAGGGTGCATCTGTGGTCCCACGACTCAGGAGACTGAGGCAGGCGCACTGAGGTCAGGGGGCAACCCAGTGAGTGTCTGACTCAAAATACAAAATCAAAAGGCTGGGGATGTAGCTCAGTGGTAAAGGACTTGCCCAGCACAACCCTGGCTATCGTCCCTCCAAAAAACCAACCATCCAGACTGCCATACTACCGGTCTCAAATTATTTTCTTGGTAGTGGCAATCTAACCCAGGGACAATTTACCACGGAGCTAAATCCCCAACAGCACCCCCCCCCCAGACACACACCTTTTAATATTGAGAAAGGTCCTCACTGAGTTGCTGAGGCTGGCCTGGAACTAGCAATCCTCCTGCTTCAGGCCCCTGGAATACAGGCATGTGCCCCCACGCCCAGGTTGGCATCAACCCTTCCTTCTCCCCGTGGGACCCTGTATTGCCACGGATGTTTGCACCCCCCTCCCCAGGTTGTGGGAGTCTCACGATCAGGACCGAGGACCCTGCCCAGTCTGAACCACAGCCCTCTGCCTTCAGGGCGGTCGTTACTCCTCCTCCAACACCCGCAGGTCCCAAGTCCGGCTTCCATTTTAGGGAAGAACCAGGAGCCCCAGTTCCTCCTGCAAATGCCTGTCCTCTCCCCCAGCGGAGAGCTGGGGACCGCGGGGAGGGGGGGTCCAGGGAGGGTGTGCAGAGCTTGGTCTCCGTCAAGGACCTGCTCTTCGCAGCAGCTCATCCTCCCTGACCGGGCGGGACCTCCGCACCCCTCCTCCTGGCACCTCAGGCGCCCCAGCCCCTCCAGGGGCGCTGAGACGGGGGGGGGGGGGGGGGCAGGGAGAGGCTCCTTACCCAGTCTGGGGCCGCTCAGAGGCTGGCGCTTCTCCGGTGGGGAGGAGCGTGCGCCCCGGAGTTCGGGGTGCTCCCTCAGGCTTTGCAGGGGGTGCTCCCCGATGACAGGCACGATCCGGCTTCTGCAAACCGCCTCAGGCTACCAGTGAGGGCTGTTTGGAGCCTGGCAGCCAGAACCTCCCCGCTCCCGGTCAGAATAGCTGACTCCCCCGCACGCGGCTTCCCAGGGCAGCGGCTCCGTGCACCTTAAGGAGGAGCGTTTGTGCATCAAGACCCTGAAGGCTGCTCTGGAACAGGTGGTCTGGACAGAGGGGTCGCTGGACCCGCCGGGGTGGGCCCGCAGCTGCTCCTCAGGGATCAGCTCCGCCCCCTTCCCTCCATTGACCCTGGCCACCTACCGCGCTGGGCGTCCCCACCTTCCCTGAGGCCCATCCAGCGCCTCGGCCCCAGGAGCCTCTGCTGGGGTCCCAGTCCCCACCTGATCAGCCCCTCCTCCAGGCCCTCTGCAGCAGGGGGTGGCTGCCGGGTGCAGGCGGAGTCCCGCATGCCTCCTCCATGGCCCGCCCCCTGCTGCCGGCCAGCCATCCTGGTCTAGGCTAGAGAGGGCCCAGTTGTGTCCACGGGCAGGTGGGCTCAGTTTGCCCAGCGAGCCTGAGCCAGGAGACTCAAGATCTCTCCTCTGCACGATCTTGGTGGTTGTTGGTGGCAGGCACCCTCCCTCACCCACACCCTCCTGCCCTGACCACGACCATCTAAACCCGCCTCAGCCGGGCCAGGGCTCCCAGTTACAAAGCTGTGTCTTGATTTCTGTCTTAAAGACAGTCTCTAAGAGGGGCCACGGGGTCCCCCATAGCAGGGTAAAGGTGGGTCAGCTTCCAGGTAAGGACTGTGTCGCCCAGGATCACTTGGCTCTGTCTAGACCCCCTGTGTGGCCACAGCAAGCAGCTTAACCTCAGCTCCTGTTGGAAGTGGAGGTGCTGGTGGAGGTGAGGGAGATGGAGGTGATGGGGGTCACAATGACAGGGATCATGTGCTGTGCACAGTGGCCACACCTGTAATTCCACTGCCCCGACTGAGGCAGGAGGATCACAAGTTCAAAGCCAGCCTCAGCAACTTAGTGAGACCCTGCCTCTAAGTGGAAAATAAAAAAGGGCTGGGGGTGCGGCTCTGCCGCAGTCTGGCTGGGCACAATCAGGAGCCACTTGTCAAAAGAAACTAACTTTATTTTTAGAACCACACACGACAAACAAAATAGTCTCTCAGGAAAAACCCTCAGAGCCTCAACTGCCACCACCGGCTTTCCACAAGCCTCTCTCTCCCACACAAGCTTCTCCCCACCTCCCACAATCCTCCTGCTCTTGAGGCCGATTGGCTGGGTCACGTGGGCGGAGCCAAAAAAGTCCCCCAATGAGCAGCTCCGTGGTCTGAAAGGGCAGGGAAACAGTCCAATGAGCATCACCGCAGAGGAGCCAATCAGCTAGATGTTGCTGGGGCCGAGGAGCCAATCAGCTAGATGTTGCTGGGGCTGCTGTGAGCCAATCATCAGCCGGCAGCTGGAAGTTTGCTGGCAGCTGGAAGTTTGCTGGGGCCCCTCAGGCTGTGGCTCTCAACATCTCCCCCTCTCTGTTTAAACAACAAGCATGTGGCTTAGGGACCGTGCCTGTTAGGCAGTCCAATTCAACATATGGTCCTTACCCGTCATCGGATGAACTGACCTCTAGGCGTCAGCCTCCTGTCTTAGGTTGGTACCACTGCAATTGGATCATACCCGTCACTGACTACCGGTCCAGCATACAGCCATACTTGTGGATAGGCCTTTGCACCTGTGGGGGGGTGAGGTTCTTTGCCTCACCTCTGTTGGCCCCCAAATTTTAGACCATCACTAGTAGAGGAGGATGCAAAATGCCATGACATTAAGCCAATTGAGGGCTCCTTTGAAAAATTGTACCACCGGTGACATCATCAGCAAAAATACCCCAACACTACCATAAGTCGCTGCACTGCTGCTTTTATTCCTTTGAGTATTAATTGTCCTACAGCCTCAGGATACCTAGTAAGAATAGTGTTAGGAGAATAAGATAAATGTATCCATAATAATGGACCTTCTTGCCAAAATACTCCTGTAGGAATATTTTTTGTTGGTAGTACAATAAATAATAAAGGCAAACTTATATCAATTCTATCCAAATGCATATTTTCCATATATGTTTCAATGATTTTTAATGCCTTTCTTGCTTCAGGCGTTAACATTCGGGGTGAATTTGGATCTGATGGACCTTTTAGGATATCAAATAAAGGTCCCAACTCTCCTGTTGGTATACCTAAATAAGGCCTTATCCAATTTATGTCTCCTAATAACTTTTGAAAGTCATTAAGTGATTTGAGTTGATCTACTCGTATTTGAATTTTTGGTGGACGGACCATGGTTGAGGATAATAGAACTCCTAAATAATTAATTGGAAAATTTAATTGTACTTTATCTATTGCTATCTCTAGATTATAATTTTTTAATAAGTTTGTAAGTGTGGCATAACATTCTAGCAATGTGTTTTTATCTTTGTGTGCTAATAATACATCATCCATATAGTGAAATATTTGTAGTTCAGGATTTTGATTTCTAAGTGGCTGGATTACTTTGTTAACATAAATTTGACACATAGTTGGGCTGTTAGCCATCCCTTGAGGGAGTACTTTCCATTCATATCTCTGATCAGGACCTTCATGATTCAGTGCAGGGATAGTAAATGCAAAACGTGGACTATCCTCAGGATGAATTGGAATTGAAAAAAAACAATCTTTAATATCTATAACTAAAACATACCAGGTTTTTGGCAAAGCAGACAACTGAGGAATCCCTGATTGAGCAGGTCCCATAATAACCATCTCATTATTAATGGCTCTTAAATCTTGCAATAATCTCCATTTACCAGATTTCTTTTTGATGACAAAAATGGGAGTATTATGGGGAGATACAGAAGGTTGTATATGTCCTTCTGCTAATTGTTGTTTGACCAGGTCATGGGCTGCTTGTATCTTTTCTTTAGTCAGGGGCCACTGAGGAACCCATACTGGTCTTTCTGATTTCCAAGTAATTTTTATTGTCTCAGTGGCCCTTTCTGAAAATCCAACCCATGTCTGTCTCTCCCTTGATCTATTTGTATTGGTGCTGCTATACCTTGTTCTTGTTTTTCTAATCTTTTTCCTTTCCTAAAACCTTGTCTAGTCATAATAGTGGGTGCATTTTGGTTGATGTTATTTGTTAATGTCAAACCTAATTGATCTAGGACATCTCGTCCCCATAAATTTACGGGAAGATGATCCAATACATACGGCTGTATAGTTCCTTCACATCCTTCAGGATCCTTCCAATCTAATACCATTGCACTTCTATGGGGATTAGTCGCCACTCCTAGGCCTCGAAGCGTTTGAGTGGCTTCTTGTAATGGCCAATGTTTTGGCCATTCTTGACGAGAGATGATGCTAAGGTCTGCACCTGTATCCAGTAGCCCATTAAATTCATGTCCTTGAATATTTAGTTTTAGCATGGGGCGAGAATCTAAATTTAAAGAAAGCATAGCCCAATCTACACCTGTGGAGCCTAATCCCTTGGAACCTCTTTCTACAGTACGACTGGAAAATTTATCATGTAGGCTGGGTATTATTAGTAACTGTGCTATTCTATCTCCTGGTGAAATTACTGATATACCCTTTGGAGAACTGGCTATAATTTTTATTTCACCTTCATAATCGGGATCAATTACCCCAGGACTTATCATAAGTCCTTTTAGAGTAGAAGAGCTGCGTCCCAATAATAAGCCTACTGTTCCTTTGGGAAGAGGTCCTTTCACCCCTGTGGGAATGATTTGAACTCCCATCTCTGGAGTTAGTACTGCTCTGGCGGAGGCGCAGATGTCCAACCCTGCGCTCCCTCTGGTTTGTCTGATGAGGGATCTGATGGACAATGTGTCCTGGGCACTACCCTGATGGGGTTGCTGGGTTCCTCCAGTGCTCCGTATATTTGTGGTTTTGGGCCCCGGAGCATTGGGCCCCCCTGTCCGTTTTTTGGCAATGGAGCCCGATGCCTTTCTCCACGATATTGTGGATAAACACCTGGTCCTTGTTCGTTTTTTGATAATGGAGTACCCTCTATGGTGGTTTGAGAACGGCATTCATTAGCCCAGTGTCTCCCTCTACGGCATCGTGGGCAAATACCTGGTATTCTACTCCTTTGATACCTAGTTTTGTTAAACCCTCCTCCAATGGGGCAATTCCTTTTAAAATGTCCTGTTTGTTCACAATTGTAGCATGTTCTTGGCCTGGCATCTAAAGCCTGTTTTACTGCAGCTGCCACAATTTGCCCTTGTTCATTAATGTCTCTGGCATCTAAAGCCTGTTTTACTGCAGCTGCCACGACTTGCTCTTGTTCATTAATGTCTCTACATAATTTAATATATGTGTTTAAATCTTCATGTTTCCATGGTCTAATGATATCTCTGCACCAACGATTTGCTTGCTCATAAGCCAGGTGTTTTAGTAATGGCATTGCTTGTTCTGTATTCCCAAAAACTCTGGTAGCTGTTTGAATAAGCCTATCTACAAATTCAGCATAAGGTTCATTAGCTCCTTGTATTACCTTAGATAATTGACCTTGTAAACCTCCATGTCCTTGTAAAGTCTTCCATGCCTTAATTGCATCTGCAGCAATTTGTGCGTATACGCCAGGATCATATGCAATTTGTTGCTGCTGATCCTCATAAGGTCCCTTTCCTAACAACATATCTAGATTTCTCTGAGGATAACCAGCTGCTGCATTTCGCCTAGCCGTCTCCTTGCAAAATTCCTCATTGGCAACCTTCCATAACAGGTATTGTCCTCCATTTAGCACAGCTTTACACATATTAGCCCAATCTGCTGGCGTCATGTTCAAGTTGTTAATGGATTCGACCAAGCTTACAGTGAAGGGTGCTTGAGGACCATAGGTTGTTACAGCCTCTTTTAGCTGCTTCACTGTTTTGAAATTTAAAACTTGGTAAAATCGCTGCCCTCCTGCCTCAAATACAGGGCATGTTAGTATTTGAGATCTTGTCTCAGGATCCCAACTATCAACTGCGGGGGTTGGGGGCCTCCCAGCATATGGAGGTGGCGCTGTTGGTTGGACACTTACGCCCTCTGGTGATAGAAAGGTGTTAGTAGCAGTCTCCTGTAGAGGTGGTGCTGTTGGTTGGACACTTACACCCTCTGGTGATAGAAAGGTGTTAGTAGCAGTCTCCTGTTGTACCTTTCCCCCTGATGGCTTTTTCTGTTTTACACTTTCTTTCTCTGTCTGACTAACTTGAGAGACCTTCTCTTTTACTTGAATCATTATGTCTTCTCCTTTCTCTACCATTGTCTGAACTGAAGGCTTTGGACTAAGCAAACAAGATAT